GCCGATAAATAATTTTAATGGGGAAGATTGTTTGGGTCAGTGGAACCGATAAACAGATAAACTGCCTCCACGTGTAAACCAGGTTGTGTCAAATCTCTGACCAGCTGTGGGACTGTGAAAACCCATCATTCTGTCTCCCACAAACACAGAAACAGACCCTCTGCCATTCCCCGCCTTCCACAAGAGCCCGGTTTCAGGGGGTTAGCTCCCTGGATTGTGAAGGGTTGGCCAGCCCAAGACTGCCAGCTGGGAAAAGGTTCCCAGGATCCTCAGCTCCACGGCCAATGCCTTGTCTTTTGGCTGACATTTCATCGCCTATTGATTGACCCTTGACCAATCTGTCAGAGAAGCTGATTCATGGGCAGGGCAGAGTGTAACTTGCTGGAAACAGGGCCAAGTGTTCCTCAGTAATTTCAGGGACATTGTCAGCAAACATATATAAGTACTCATATCTATGTACAAATCACATCCTTTAGACACCTCACCACAACCATGAAGTACCTGGGTCTGCTCCTCCTGGTCAGCCTGATGGCATTGGCCATGTCAGGTATGTAGCAGTGTGCTGTCCCACTCACTCCCTGATGGTAGACAGTTTTTTAATGTCATTCCTGCTCTAGCAGTCTCTGGGCAGATATCCATGTGTCCAGTGTAGACCATGGACAGAGTTCATAGCCTCTGGGCCGATATCTGTGTGTCCAGTGTTGACCATGGACAGAGCTCGTAGTGTAGACCATGCACAGAGCTCACAGCCTCTGGACCGAGCTCTGTTACGTCAGGAAGGATATCAAACTTTGGAGACGGTGTAGAGGAAATTTACCTGAATTGTTCCAGGAGGGAATGGTAAAGCTGGGGGCAGTGTCGGAGCTGAGAAGGTGAAGGGGAGATTTAAATGACACGCTCAGAATTATGAGGCTGGGGCCAATGAGGAAAAAGTGTCTCCACTGGCAGGAAGGCTGGTAACCAAAGGAGATGAATTTGGCAAATTTGCAAAGATAGCAAAAGGGAGATTTGGAGAATGTAGATCCCACAGTGGATTACTGTGATCCAGGGATCATTCTCCGAGCAGGTGCTGGGAGCAGACTCATGATATTGTTTTGGATTGACCTTGGAGAGATTTCCACTGACCAGAAGTAGATTCCTAACCCAAATATCCTTCCGACAACCATCAAGCTCAATGCAAAGACTTCACTCATGGAGAGAGAGAGCAGTTAGAGAAGCTGATTTTTTTTTGTGGAGAGCAGAAAGCTCTTTGGAAATTTAATCAAGACCTTCAAAATTCTGAGCGTTTGTGGGGGTAATGAGAAGAATTTTTTCCACTAGCACAAGGGTCAGTCAGAGATGCGAGACATACATTTTTAACAGTCTTTGGGATCTCCTTATGTTGCCCTGCTCTGAGATGTGATCATTATTTAGACCAAAAAGTGAAAAATTTCCCAGTTCATACCTCAACAGTACGGTTAAGCATTTGCTGAGCCCTTGTCTTCTAATATAGACATAGCACATAGAACAGTGCAGCACAGGAACAGGCCCTTCGGCCCACGATGTTGTGCCAAAAATGACGCCAAATTAACCTAATCCCTTCTGCCTGCCTTTGGTCCATATCCTTCCATACCTTGTATATTCATGTGCTTATGTAAAACTCCCTTAAATGTTCCTATTGTATCTGCCTCGCCCACGACCCCTGGCAGCGCGTCCCTGACCCCTACCATTCTCTGTGTAAAAAACTTGCCCCACACATCTCCTTTGAACTTTTCCCCTCGCACGTTAAATGCATGCCCCTTCGTGTTAAACATTTCAACTCTGGGAAAAAGACGCTGACCATCAACCCTATCTATTCATTTCGTAATTTTATAAGCTTCTATCAAGCCTTCCCTCAGCCTCCTCTGCTCCAGAGAAAACAATCTGAGTTTTTCTAGCCTCTCTTTATAACTCATATTCACTAATCCAGGCAACATCCTGGTAAACCTCTTCTGCCCCCTCTCCAAAGCCTCCACATCCTTCCTGTAATGTGGAGACCAGGCCTAACTAAGGGCCTACAGAGCTGCAACATGACTTCCTGACTCTACTACTCAATTCCCTGACCAAAAAAGGCAAGCATGCCATGCACCTTCTTTGCCACCCTATCTACTTGTGTGGCCACTTCTAGGGAGTTGTGAATGAATTAACTGTCAAACCAATTGTGTTGTAATTGTGAGATAACAAGGTGTAGAGCTGGATGAACACAGCAGGCCAAGCAGCATCAGAGGAGCAGGAAGGCTGACGTTTCGGGCCCAGACCCTTCTTCAGAAATGGGGGAGGGGAAGGGGGGTTCTGAAATAAATAGGGAGAGAGGGGGAGACGGATAGAAGATGGATAGAGGAGAAGATAGATGGGGAGGAGACAGACCGGTCAAAGAGGCGGGGATGGAGCCAGTAAGAGTGAGTGTCGGTGGGGAGTTAGGGAGGAGATAGATCAGTCCAGGGAGGATGGACAGGTCAAGGGGGCAGGATGAGGTTAGTAGGTAGGAGATGGGGGTAGGGCTTGAGGTGGGAGGAGGGGATAGGTGGGAGGAAGGACAGGTTAGGGAGGCGGGGACGAGCTGGACTGGTTTTGGAGTGCGGTAGCGGGAGGGGAGATTTTGAAGCTTGTGAAGTCCACATTGATACCATTGGGCTGCAGGGTTCCCAAGCGGAATATGAGTTGATGTTCCTGCAACCTTCAGGTAGCATCATTGTGGCATTGCAGGAGGCCCAGGATGGACATGTCGTCTGAGGAATGGGAGGGGGAGTTGAAATGGTTCGCGACTGGGAGGTGCAGTTGTTTAGTGCGAACCGAGCGTAGGTGTTCTGCAAAGCGGTCCCCAAGCCTCCGCTTGGTTTCCCCGATGTAGAGGAGGCCACAACGGGAACAGCAGATGCAGTATACCACATTGGCAGATGTGCAGGTGAACATCTGCTTGATGTAGAAAGTCTTCTTGGGGCCTGGGATGGGGGTGAGGGAGGAGGTGTAGGGGCAGGTGTAGCACTTCCTGCGGTTGCAGGGAAAAGTGCCGGGTGTGGTGGGGCTGGAGGGGAGTGTGGAGCGGACAAGGGAGTCACAGAGAGGGTAGTCCCTCCAGAAAGCAGATAAGGGTGGGGAGGGAAAAATGTCTTTGGTGGTAGGGGTCGGATTGCAGATGGCGGAAGTATCGGAGGATGATGTGTTGGATCCAGAGGTTGGTGGGGTGGTACGTGAGGAGGAGGGGGATTCTGTTTTGGTTGTTATTGCTGGGAGGGGGTGTGAGGGAGGAGTTGCGGGAAATGCGGGAGACACGGTCGAGGGCATTCTCGACCCTGGGGGGGGGGGGGGGGGGGGGGGGGGGCAAGTTGCGGTCCATGAAAAACGAGGACATCTGAGATGTACGGGAGTGGAATGCCTCATCCTGGGAGCAGATGCGGCGGAGGCAAAGGAATTGGGAATAGGGGATGGCATTTTTGCAGGAAGGTGGGTGGGAGGAGGTGTATTCTAGGTAGCTGTGGGAGTCGGTGGGCTTGAAATGGATATCGGTTTCTAGGTGGTTGCCGGAGATGGAGACAGAGAGGTCGAGGAAGGAGAGAGAGGTATTAGAGATGGTCCAGGTGAACTTAAGTTTGGGGTGGAAGGTGTTGGTGAAGTGGATGAACTGTTTGAGCTCCTCGTGGTAGCACAAGGCGGCGCCGATATAGTCATCAATGTAACGGAGGAAGAGGTGGGGTTTAGGGCCAGTGTAGGTACGGAACCCCTATTCCCAATTCCTTCGCCTCCGCCGATCTGCAGGAACCCTGCAGCCCAGTGGTATCAATGTGGACTTCACAAGCTTAAGAATCTCCCCTCCCTCTACCGCTTCCCAAAACCAGCCCAGCTCATCCCCGCCTCCCTAACCTGTCCTTCCTCCCACCTATCCCCTCCTCCCACCTCAAGCCCCACCCCCATCTCCTCCCTACTAGCCTCATCCCGCCCCCTTGACCCGTCCCTCCTCCCTGGACTGGCCTATCTCCTCCCTACCTCCCCACCTACACTCACCTTTACTGGCTCCATCCCCGCCTCTTCTGACCTGTCTGTCTCCTCTCCACCTATCCTCTCCTCTATCCATCTTCTATCCACCTCCCCCTCTCTCCCTATTTATTTCAGAACCCCCTTCCCCTCCCCCATTTCTGAAGAAGGGTCTGGGCCCGAAACGTCAGCCTTCCTGCTCCTCTGATGCTGCTTGGCCTGCTGTGTTCATCCAGCTCTACACCTTGTTATCTCAGATTCTCCAGCATCTGCAGTTCCTACTATCTCTGTGTTTTAATTGTAGCTTCCTCATTCATTCTCCAAGGATAAGGCTCACAAAAACTAATCTGATTTTTCAACAGGTTCACGTCATTCCAGCTAAGGTATTGTCATTAATTTTGGAGGTGGCTTTTCCCAAGGTAAACAAGGATAGGGAGACAGTGTGCTGATATCTATTAATGGAAGCAAAACTCAAATCCTTTCACCGTGCCATAACTCTGCACGTGGACTTCACAAGCTTAAGAATCTCCCCTCCCCCTACCGCTTCCCAAAACCAGCCCAGCTCATCCCTGCCTCCCTAACCTGTCCTTCCTCCCACCTATCCCCTCCTCCCACCTCAAGCCCCACCTCTGTGCTTTTGGTGCTAATTACTTATAAAGCTGCAACATGACTCTTGTCTTCAATTCCCCGAACAGTAAAGGCTAACATGCCTTCTGTACCACCCTATTTACTTGTGTGGCCAGTTTCAGAGGGCTATGGACTTGAACCCCAAGATCCCTCTGTACACCAAAGCTGTTCAGGGTCCTGTTGTTAACTGTATATTTTTCCTCCCCATTTGATCTAGAATTCTCATGTTTTTTCCCTTGTAATAACACAGAGGAGATTGTCAGATAACTCTGATGTTATATGCCCTGAAAGTGAATGGTTTTACCAAACAACTTAGGCAAGGGAACTATAATGCTTGCATCTGGATGGGTATATGAATAGGAAGGGTTTAGAGGGATATGGGCCAAATGCTGGCAAATGGGACGGGATTAATTTAGGATATCTGGTGTATGGACAACTTGGAGCAAAGAGCCTGTTTCTGTGCTGAACAGTTCTTTGACTATGAACCTTAAAGGCAATGAAGATGAGAAGATTTAAGTCATTCCTCACTTGGTGAAAACAGAAGTGAATAATTATTTCACAAGCAAAAGACGAGTATTAAATGAGAGGATGCAGAGTTAGATCAGCTGAAGTGGAATGAGAATGAATAGTTATGCTTAGTTAATGCCAGCATTAGCTCTCAATGTAATACTCACTGTAGTTATTAAACTAATTGTTTCAAAGACATGCCACATGATTTTCTGCAGAAAATGCAAATGCACATCTTTTTTTCTCCATAGGGCATCGTCATTCTGATTATGGTAACTATTTTTCCGCAGAAAATATATTGTTAATTTTAGCAAATCTTAATTTGTAGAAACAAAGATGCAGACACTGTACATTGAGAGAACTTTTCTGGGGGGTTGAGTGCCTTTGCGCTTTGCTCACAGATCTGGCCCAATAGAAAAATATAATGTGTCCATCGATGCAATCTGTTCTGCAAGGGATTGGGCGGGTCTCAGGCTTTACCGGCTGTCTGTGTCCTGCCTTGAGATGCGGTCGTTAACCAGTTCAAATTCACTCAGATTTTTTTTTTCCACAATATGTGTCCATATTCCTGGAAAGAAAGTGTTCAAACAACGATAAGAAGGAAGAAAAACAGCAAGGGGAGGTCATGTTGCGGCTGTACAGGACATTGGTTAGGCCACTTTTGGAATACTGTATTCAATTCTGGTCTTCCTGTTATAGGAAAGCTGTTTTTAAAGGGTGCAGAAAAGTTTTGTAAGGATGTTGCTGGGGTTGGAGGGTTTGAGCTATAGGGAGAGGCTGAATAGGCTGGGACTATTTTCCCTGGAGCATCGGAGGCTGAGGAGTGACCTTATAGAGATCTATAAAATTGTGAGGGATATAGATAGGGTAAATAGCCAAAGTCTTTTTCCCCAGGGTAGGGGAGTCTAAAAATAGAGGGCATAGGTTTAAAGTGAGAGGGAAAAGAATTAAAAGGGACCTAAGGGGCGACTTTTTCACACAGAGGATGGTGCGTGTGTGGAATGAGCTGCCAGAGGAAGTGGTGGAGGCATTTTAAAAGGCATCTGGATGGGGACATGAATAGGAAGCATTTAGAGCGATATGGGCCAAATGCTGGCAAATGGGACCAGGCTAATTTAGGATATCTGGTTGGCATGGACGAGTTGGACCGAAGGGTCAGCTTTGGTACTGTACAGCTCTATAATTATACGACTCTTATTAATTAAGGTGAGCATTACAGAGAAGCAGAAAGAAGACGATTCATCAGGGTAACAGACAATGTCAACTTGTACTTTGTCATTTGGCTGTACTGCATTCACTGTTCCCAATCACTGTCCTTTACATGGGTCAATTAAAGGTCGGGTGTCTGCTTTGCAGGATGCGTTCGTCTAGTCTGTAGACACAACCCAACCTTCCAAGTGCTTGCCTTTTGACGCACCACCTAGATGTCATGGTCACATTTCTGTCCCAGGCCTGCCACAGTGTTGTAGGGAATCCTCATGGAAGAGCAGTGCATTACATTCCACTGAGGAACTTAACAGCTTTGTCAGTCACTGAGCCATTGTAGTGCCAAAGAAAGTGACTGCCCATTGATCCTGAGCCAGTTCGTCAAATGAGCATCAAGGCAGTGCGCTAATCTCCTGCTTTTACCCATAATCCTTCTGCACTATTTCTATCCAAATAATCATCAGCTTCAACAACTTCAAGCCATGAACTGTGCTGCCTGTTTTATTCCAACTCCGCTTCTTACCCTGTTGTTTCCCCCCAACCCTAACACCTAAATCCTAACCCTAACCCTTACCTTGACCCTAACCCTAACGCTAACCCTGACCCCAGTCCTACCCCCTAAAATATCCTGTTGTCCCCCCAAACCCTAACCCCTAAATCCAAACCATAACCCCGACGCTATCACTATCTCCCTCAACCCCTAACCCCTAAGCCTAAACCTAGCCCAAACACTAACCCTAACTGCCAACATCTAAAACACAACCTTAACCCTGACCCTAACCCTAGCCCTAACCTAAATTCTAACCCTAACCCTAACCTTAACCCTGACCCTAACATTAACCCTAACCTAAAACCTAACCCTAAATCTAAAGCTAAACCTAACTCTAACCCTAATCCTAACCCTAATCCCCAACCCCAACTGTAGACCTAATCACCAACCCTAACCCTAACCCTAATCCCTAAAGCTAAACCTAACCCTAATGCCCAACCATAAAAAATCCTAACCTTAAACCTAACCATAATCTTAAGTCTAACCTTAACACTAACCCTAATTCTGAGTTTGACCCTAACCCCCAAGACTAACTCTGGCCCTAAACCTGACCCTAAACCTCACCTTAACCTTAACCTTAGACCTAACCCTAATCCCAATCCTAACCGTAACTCTAACCCAAACCCTAACCCTAACACGAACCCCAACCCTAACCCTAAACCTAATCCTAATCTTAGGCCTAACTCTAACCCTAACCCTAACCCTAACTCAGTTTCGTAGTTATGCATTAATAGGACTGACCTACATTTTGTTATTAATACCTGTTATGTTCAATTAATCTGGATCAGCTTTCCTCTCTATAACAACTACTGCTCCCTTTGACTTTCGTTTTATGGCACTTGCAGCCTCCTTCCCCTGTGACCTTCACTTCTGTTCCGCTTGCTCCACCCACCCCAACCTAATTCCGTTCGCATCACTTTTACACCTCTCCCTTTGGGTCCGAAGAAGGGTCATTGGACTTGCAACATTGACCCTGTCTCTCTCTCAGCAGATGGTGTCAGGCTCTGTTGAGTTTCTCTGGCACGTTTTGCTCCTATTTTCGGGTAGAATTTATTCGGTGAGAGAAAAGGTATAAAATATTGCCAAAATGGTATTGCTCAGTGCAGTCTCTCAGATAAACATTCCAAATATAAAGTGGGTGTTGAAGCTGAGTGATTTGGAGAGACATGTCTACATAATGATTGAAGATGGGAGGGCAAGTTAGGAAAAGAGTTTAATAAAGCGTGTAAGCTTTAGTAATAGAGGCATAAGAGCAAGGAGATGATACTGAAGATGTATTTAACCCTGGCTCAGCCACTGCTCAAATATTGCAACCAATTCTTGGCACCAGACTATAGAAAGATATGAAGGCATTAGAGAGAGAGAGATAGATAGAGAGTGCAGAGAAGGTTCATAAGAATGGTTCCAGAGATAGATCTGAGATCTTGGAAAAAAGGAATGTTGAAAGGAAATCTGATTCAACAGTAGATAGGGAAAAATGGATCCTACCAATGAATGGCAAATGGGAGGACACAGATTTGAAGATATTTGTTAAAATTGAAGCTAAGTCGATAAGACAAAATATGTTTTTGCCTAGCGAGTGCTTAGGATCTGGAATTCACTGCTTGAGCACATGGTGGAGGCAGGCTCAAATGAAGCATTTGATGAAGAATGAGAAGGTTACCAAAAAAGGTGTTGGAGAAAGGGGGAAAACAACACTGAGGGAGTCGCTCATTCAGAGAGCCCAGGTATGACGGGCCAAATGGCCTCTATCATTTCTGTGATTCTGAGGCTGAGGGTCTTAACATTGAGACAGGGTGCCTGACTGTTTATCATGTGGGACCAGTCCAGTTTAGGAAACCTGGTCAGCATGGACGAGTTGGGCCGAAGGGCAGGTTTCCATACTCCACCATCCCATTCTGGCCTACATGTGACTCCAGACCAACAGCCAATGTCATTGGCTCCTAACGACCCTGTGTTATACAAATAGGGATGGACAAACCTGCTGACCTAACCGGTGATGCACACATCATTGCAAATAAACTTTAAAAATTCCTAATCTGTGGAAGAAATTAATTGTTGAACATTATGGCCGCTTAGAATCTGCTGAGTTTTGGACGTGAGGGATAATGATCATTTAATGATTGAAAGCACAACGTCTGTTCCCAATCTGCGCAAGGCTGAAGATATCAATTGTTGACCTGGTTGTGTTGGAAATGTAGATTCTCAATTCACACTCTCCTGAAAGTGTTAACACTAATCTGTTTGTTCCACAGAACACAATGATTATGATGAAGGTAGGCTCTTTAATTTTAGCGATCTCATTTCAGGTAAAGAGAGGGAGGCAAATGTGAATGCTCCCAATATTAACCAAAGACAATTCCCATCCAACACCAACACTTAGCACTAGAACAGTGACTGCCTTCGTTAAAAAGAATTAATTTGCATCAGTGACAACAAGGTGTAGAGCTGGATGAACACAACAGGCCAAGCAGCATCAGAGGAGCAGGAAAGCTGACGTTTCGGGTCTAGACCCTCAGTTCCCTGTTCTGGAGGTCACTATAGGCCAAGGACTAAATGTGACATTGGGAAGCAGGAAGCTCCACAGAAAACGACATTCCCTAATCCTGGTCAATGATTGGATATTCAGCTCACCCAATGAAAAGAGAGGGCAGCAAACTTCACATCCTACCCAGGAAACTCTCATCTCAATAGGATTAAGGAGAATCCAAAGGGATCCTACAAATACATTAAGGACAAAAGAGCAACTGGGGAGCGAATACGGCCCCTTAAAGATCAGCAAGGCTATCTATATGTGAGAGTGGAGTAGATGGAGCAGATACTAAAAGAGCATTTTGCATCGGTGTTTACTGTGGAGAAGGGTTTGGAGTCTACAGAACTTGGAGAGATAAATAACAACATCTTCAAAACTGTTGATATTACACAGGGGGAGGTGCTGAACATCTTAAAATGATTAAATATGGATAAACCCCCAGGACCTGATCAGGTGTATCCTAGAAATTTGTGGGAAGCTAGGGAAGTGAGTGCTGGGCTCCTTCCTGAGATATTTGGATCATCAAAAGCCACAGTTGAGAGGTACCGGAAGACTGGAGGTTGGCCGATATGGTGCCACTATTTAAGACAGATGGTAAGGAAAAGCCAGGGAACTACATACCCATGAGCCTGACATCAGTGGTGGGCAATTTGTCGGAGGGGATACTGAGGGGCAGGATTTACATGTATTTAGAAAGGCAAGGACTGATTAGCGACGGTCAGCATGGTTTTCTTTTGTGTGGGAAATCGTGGCTCACTAACTTGATTGAGTTTTTCGAAGAAGTAACGAAGAGGACTGATGAGGGCAGAGCAGTGGGCATGGTCTGCATGGACTTCATTCGACTGGTTAGCAAGGTTAGATCACATGCAACACAGGGAGAACTAGTCATTTGGATACAGAACTGGCTGGAACAAAGAGGCAGAGGGTAATGGTAGAGGGTTGTTCCAGACTGCAGTTTTGCGACCAGCGGTGTACCACAAGGATTGGTGCTGGGTCCACTGCTTTTTTGGCATTTATATAAATGATTTGGACGTGAGCATAGGAGGTATGGTTAGTAAATTTTCAGATGACACTGAAATTGGAGATATAGTAGACAGCGAAAACATTTACCTCAGAGTACAACAGGACCTTGATCAGATGGGCCAATGGGTCAAGGAGTGGCAGATGGAGTTTAACTTAGATAAAGGTGAGGTGCTGCGTTTTGGAAATGCACATCAGGGCAGGACTTACACACTTAATGGTAAGGCCCTGGGGAATGTTGCTGAACAAAGAGACCTTG